TGTATCTCTATTGTTTGTCCACGAACCTTTTCAACTAGATATTTTTTCATCTTTTGTTTTTAATTTTAGGAATTTATCTTTTTCATAGCTTTGTGACAAGAACAAGACAAGAATAACCACTTTTATCACTGCTGTTTTTCATAGCACTAGCCAACACTGTAAGAAAATAAATAAGAGATGGAACCATTGGGAGGAAAAAAATAAAACTGCAATTACTTTTGGAAAAGATCATATTAATCAACATCTACCTAGCAAGACCATCATAATCAACAAATTATTAGAATGAATAAAGGAGCTCAGTAAGGTTACTAGAAATAAGATTAACTAACCCCCAAATATTAGAATTTCTCAATAACTAACTAGAAAATATTATAAAAAATAAGATATCATTCATAATATCTACAGAAACTATAACATAATTGAGAATTAACTTATGTAAGAATGTACTAGACTTCCATGGAGAACATTTAAAAGCTCTAATATCAAAGAACATAGAATATGATCTGAAGATATAGAGAGTTATTCCATGCTTAACTGGACTAAATTACTGATATCAATCATCTTTAAAGTGATTTGTAAATTAAATGAAAACCAATAAAAATTTCAGTTACATTTTTTTGAGAAACTTGGTAAACATTGGAACTTTTAGAATGTACTATAATAAATAATAATAATAAAAACTGTAAGGTACAAGAACAGACAATGAGAACAATAAAGTAAAATAATAAAATAAAAGGTTCATGTATATAAATTAAGTGTCAATGTTCAAAAAAAGGAAACTATGATTAAAGTTAGCAGATAACAGAGTAGAAGTTTTGTTGAGTAAATGAATAATATCTAGAATTATACATCTAGAATATACAAATAACTCCTGCGAATCAATTAAAAAAAAGAAAACCCCAGTAGAGATGTTGGCAAAGAATGAACAGGTTTTAAAATTTTTTTTTTGTTGTTTTAAAGATGTGGGGGTACAATTGAGGGCTAGGTATACAAATGTTCATTATGCAGTTACCCTTGTTGATAAGGTGTGCTCCCCTCCCCACTGGCAGTTTCCCACTACTGCTGATCCCACCCCTCTTCCCCTGGTAGTTTCCCACTATTGCCAATCCCTTTCTCATAGTATTACGATAATTATTCAAGGTCCTCTTATGAGTGAGAACATGTGGTACTCAGTTTACTGTTTCTGTGATAGATCACTGAATATGATGGACTCTAAATCCATCCAAGTTGCAGCAAAGTCTATATGTTTGTCCTTTATGACTGCATAATATTTCATTGTGTATATTACCACATTTTTTTTTAAAATCCAGTCCAGTTTCGATGGGCAGCATGGTTGGTTCCATGTTTTTGCTATTGTGAACAGGCATTCTTAAGGAAGAGAAACTCCACAAGGTTAACATGCATGTGAAGAAATACTTAAATTCATTAGTATTAGTAATATATAATAAACCTTAATGAACTATTACTACATCTACTACATTGGCAAAAAGTAGACAGCTGGATAAGGCCAAGCGTGGTGGTTAAATGGAAACATGTGAAGCCTATGAACTACTGGTGGAAGTCTGCAGCAGCAATCTGGTTGTATTTAGTCAAATTAAATATATGCATATTCTTGGACCCAGTAATTCACCTCTGATCATAGAACCTCAAGGGAATTTTCACATGCTTCTGTAAAAGGACACGTAAGAAGGTTCATTGATGGTTTGTGGAAGAGGAAGTTGGAGATACTCTGGTTATGTAAAATGCAGTCTTGCACACCACGGAGTAGTATGCAGATGTTAGAAGTAACATGTGGAATGTCTACATAGCCACGTAGATGGATCTTACAACACTGAGCCGAATTAAAAAACAAGAAACTCTGAGAACTATAATACAATATTGCCTACATGAATTAAAAATCTATACATGCAAAGCAAAGCATGTTTTGTAAGCACAGGTATAAAAGTCTACAAATAAAAAGATTGATATCAACCTGTGAAAATAATTGTCTTAATCGGAATGGTGGGTGTGTATTGGGGGCTAGAAGAGACAGGAAAAAGAATAGGCATGGAAAATGAGGGGGAAAGTGGATGGATGAATACACGAATAATTGAAAAATATAAATGAATGAGTGAATAGGTAAATAAGTGAGTGGCCTTTCATGGATCAATGACGATATAATGCCAAGAATGAAGAAGGTGATTAGAGTCCAAATGAAAAAAAAAAAAAAAAAGACCTGGCAGAGGTAACAGCACACAATGAATACTCAGTAAATATTCGTTAAAAAAAAAAAAAAAAGTCTGTGGTGAACCTTTTTGCAAAATTAAAATTTCTTTTGCAATATTAAGTCAGTGCACTTAGTGTATTATTTATGAGTTTTGATTTTGGAATGTTAAATGCTTTAAAAATGTGAGCATACCCATATTTGTAGACATCTGAACCGTATTAACAGAATTTTTTTCCTTTTCTCCCCTTTCTTGAGATATTGCATAAACATGGCCACCTCTTTTGAACTATTCTATGTGGTTTGACTTTTGATTCTGAGTCATAGAAAATGTTTTCCTGGCAAATATTTGCTGTTTTGATCAAGTCTTGGTTCTAAAACACCTGCCTATATGTGGTCATTGATACCCAGGCTCTTTCCTGGAAGCATTGAGCTGGAATCTGCTGCATGAGCTTGGAAGCCAGCAGAGGTGATTGGGTTGTCACTGGCCACAATGATGGGCTTTCCTACTGACGTTTTTTTCCCTCTCTGTCACTGCACAAGATCAGATTTGTTACAGCACCTTTGGGTTTCTTCTCTTCCTTTCCTCTTTCCAAAAGACAGGGATTTATGCTTTTACTGATCTGCTCCAAATTTGATAGTAATGATCTTATACTGCTAATAAACATGACTGACATTTGGCTTTCACTGATTTTGATTTGATGAATATCTATTAGTATAATTATTTAGAGCTCTAGACCTAGTCAGATGAATTTGAGTCTGATACCCAGTCTATCACCTAGTAGCCTGGTAACACTAGGCAAATTGAATTCTCTAAGTGCTTGCTTCTGTGAACGATACAGATACAAATTTTCTCATAGTCTTGTTATGGTGCCTAGATGAGATAATTCATTGATGGCTTAACATGGAGCCTGGTGCATAGTAAGTGGTTATTATTATTACTTCATGGAAATTATTATACTAAGTTTGTGGGGGAGAAACAGATAAATAAGGAAAAAATTTTTAATTCCATAGACTGGTGAGAATAAGACAGATAACCAAAATATAGAGTGGGAGAGGGTTCCTGGGGTCACATAGCTTCCTAAGAACCCGTGTGACATTCAGAGAACTGTTTCTTCACTTTATAAACAAAGAAACTGAGACTAGAAGAGTTACATGACTTGCTTAAGAGGACATGGCAAGTGAGTATCAGAGCCTTGATGGGAGTCCACATCTCCTGTGACTGAGCGGGGCCTGACGGACGTGACACCGTTTCCAGTGGAAACTTCTCAGTGCCACCCAAGGCCTCCCTGACAGGCCAGGCCAAGTTGCTGCCAGCCACACCACAGGATGAGGCCCTCCCCTCTCCAGAACTTCAGAGGCTTTAAGGGCTCATAACCAGCCAGACATAGTGTTGTCATTTATGTGGACAACATTTCTCTTCAAGACCTGTCCTCAAACCAGCAACCCATTAGAGACAGTGATTCATAACTTCATTAAATGAGTTTTTATTGGGGGTCAGACTGCTCCGGGACCTGTGTGAGGCACTGGAGAGACAGAGAGGAAATCTCCTTGAGGAAGCTACAGTCATGCAACAATTTGCCATCACATAGTGAACGAAGTGCTCTATGAGCTGAGAAAAGAGAAACGAACAGTTTCTGGGCTAGGAAGTTTGGTGGGTCAGAGCATTTTTCAGCAAAAAAGGCATTATTTGACCTGGATCTTGAAACATGGGGAGGTGATTTTCAGATGGGGAAGTGGGAAGAGGAACCCAGAGAGAGAGGACAGCAAGGTCAAAGGCAGGGGATTGCATGAATGTTCAGGAGTGCTTGGAGGGTGCTGGAGACCAGTGGTAGGAGATGAGGCCTGGGAAGGAAGGCCAGGGCTGGGGTGTGCAGGGCCTCATGGGCCTCCTTCTCTGTGACTGAAGAGAAGAGCCAGGTGATGCAAGACTGCTGTGAGGCCATGTAGGGCACAGAGCACCAAGGCCCCAGACCAGCCCTAGGGGGCCCTAGCCAAGTGATCTTGACCCGGAACTGATGGGGTTCCAGAAGACTTACGCATGTGGACCTCAGATACACAGTGGCAGAAGCTTCCAAGTAGCCTAACACCCCACACACTTCCAGGTGATGGGCCCATGACTTTTACTTTGAGAAGCTTCCCGTTATCAGTGGGTGGGCACTGGGGGAGAGGCCCTGCTCACTCTGTGCCTACAAGTCACCCTGAGAAACCAGCTCCAGTCAAAGAGCCCGGGCGTCTTCTTTCTCTCCTGAGTGTGTCGGCCTCTTTCTCCGTGGGCCTATCGACCATCAACCAGCGTCCCCCCTATTTCAGCATGATTAAGCCTTGCCGTTTGGGGGGTGGCTGGGGACGAGGGGAGCGGCTGTTGTGTTTCAAAAGGGAATAAACAGAAAAGCAATATTAAAAGAATGAGGAGGTTGTGTAGTGAAGCTTGAAGAGATGGCAGGTGTTTCCTCCGCATTGAGAACCAGTGACCCCTGGGAATCACATTTCCCGCTGAGGGGGCCCCATGGCGGACCAAGTCCCGTTCTGGTCCTGGTGGTGGGGTGAGAGCCTGAAGGGGCGCCCTGGAAAGCCCAGCATTTTCCAAGGGGGGCTTTGGGCTCATCGCTGGCATGGGGGTGGGGGCGGGCTTGCACGGGACCACACAGCTCGCCCCCACACTCCTTCACACCCATGTGCAGCGGGTCACTGCGAGGCCTGCGCAGGCCATGGCTGTGGCGCTGCACTGATGCTCGGTCCCAGTCGGCTGGCTCTGCCCCTCCCACCCCCCACCCCAGGGGTGCACAGTGGGGCCACGGGCGGCCTTGCTCTTGCTGGAAGCAGAGCGCCCGGTGCCTGGGGTGGGAGGATGTGGTGACGCGTTCCACGCAGCGGGAACTCGGGCCTTTAAAAAGCCGAGGAAGCAGCCTCCGCGCAAGCAGTGGCTCCCCTGGAGGAAAGCACACCCAGGCCTCACGTTCAAGAAGCCAAACTGTCTGCTTCAAAGAGAAAAGGCAACATCCTGTCGCAGGCCATGCTCTGGCAGAAACGTAAGTGGGTTGGCTGTGGCTGTCGGAGCCCAGCAGGCGCGGGAGGGGGCCGGGGGATCGTCGCCTGGACTGCAAGTGGGGAGCTGGTGGCCGAGATCACAGGACCACGGGGCCACGGGGCCACGGGCCCGGGTTCCAAGCCCCGGGAGCCGCGAGGGGCGAGGTGGGCGGGCCGGAGCCTGGTGGAGAAACCGACCTGTCAGAGGTGATGCTGATTTTCCAGGCTGGAGGGGAACGAGCTAGTGTTCCAAGCGGGGACGGCTCATCGCATCTGGCATCGGTGCATGAATCACTGTGGGTGAAGAAAGGGCAGTTTATGATTCACACGACAAAAGCCACATGTGATACGGGCTTGGGGCTGGGACGGTTCTCAGTTCTGGGACAGTTCGCAGTTCTTTACATGGGGGACTTTGTTTTTATAAGCAGCGATTCTCCAGCTTGCTGCTTATTTCTCTGGGCCTGGTTCTAGCTGAGTGTCTGAGCTTTCTGCAAAGCCTGATCTGTGTGATGCACTGGGACCAAATGGAGACCTGGTTTGGTGGAGGATGTCTTCACTGGCTTCTCTGTCTTACCTCTTGCCACTTTTTTTCCCTTCCTGTGGCACGGCTTGTGTGTCCCACTGCTGAAGGGAGGGGTAAAGGGAGCCAGCCAGTTTATCTTTGACCTTGGTATTTTATCCCCGGAGTTGAGTGGGACAGCTGTGAACTTTATTTTCCTTTTTGCGGATGGAACAGACTCCTGTTACTAATAATTGAAATCATACAGAGATTATTGACAACAGTTCTTTCATGAGATAAACAAAGTCAGCTCGTCGGTCTCAAGAGAGTTGAACTTTATTGGGGCTCAGTTCTATACTTTCTCAAACAAGTAACATTACCAAAAAATTGCTCTATGTTTCTTGTAAAAGTTCTTAGTTCTTTAAAGTGCCTTTTAATTAATTCAGGTACACCCTACCTTAAGAAAATCTAGATTTATAGAAAAAGATAAATCAGGGAGAGTTTTTATTTTATGGAAAGATAATTCTATTTGGTTCCTTAAAGTTCTGAAAATCTACCTTCATGGATTAAAACGTGACTTTCTCTCACTTTATCACTCATTTCCTTTTTCTTCTATTTCATGTAAATTCTCTGACATTGAGCTGTTAACATATCATACAGAGAAGTGACGGCAACCTTTTTCAGATCGTGAAGTCACATCATTGTTTGATATCAGCAATTTGCATTTTTTAAAAATAAAAATAAGTGAAATTTAATTTGACTTTGAGAATTATGGACTCCTTCCAAGATAATTAGGAATATTCTAGTATGGGTGGCATGCAGCTCCTGCTGGAAGGAGAATGGAGTGATGGCAGCTTATCCTTTGCGGGACAATGGCAGCCATCCCTATCTTGAGTGCTCTGTGGATGAAAGCAGGTCAGTGCTCATTTCCGTGCTGGGGACTCCTAAGCGTCTATCCACTCGCCTCGGCCTCCCAAAGTGCTGGGATTATAGGCTGAGCCACCGAGCCCTTCCACTAGAGATGAATCATTTGCGTTTTATGTGACACCCCTGGAGGGAGTTTTCCGATAACGCCTGCCTTCTGTGAACAAGTCACTTGCCTTTTTTTTTTTTTTTTACAATCTTTTTTATTTTAAAAAATCATTTAAAATTATTTTATTATTTCTATTTAAATAACTTCAGGGGGTACAAATAGTTCTTGGTTACGTGGTTACATTATATAGTGGCGAAGAAGTCTGGGCTTTAAGTGTCCCCACTTTCCCCACCTGTGCACATTGTACCCGATAGGTGATTTTTCGTTCCTCTACCCATCTCCCTCTCCCTCTTCTGAGTCTCCAATGTAAATCCTTTTTTAGAATCTCACGTGTAAAATGGGGAAATAATAATGCTCGTTCGTTAGTAAGCAGAGTGCCACCGAAATGGTGTTCATTGCTTGGGTTCTGCATCAGCATCTGAGATATGAGTTGCTTCCCTGCATTCACAAGCTGCCATATTCTCCCTTCTTCGCTATGCACTACACTTTTCTTCTTTAATGCCTACTCAGAGAAAAGCTTTTTTTTTTTTTTGAGTTGGAGTCTCACTCTTGTCGCCCAGGTTGGAGTGCCGTGGCACACTCACGGCCACCCCAGCATCGACCTCCTGGACTCTGGCGATCCTTCCGCCTCAGCCTTCCAAGGCTCCAGAACTACAGGCATGTGCTACCATGCCCGGCTAATTTTTTACTTTATTTGATTGTAGAGACGAGGTCTTGCCAAGTTGCCTGGGCTGGTCTTGAACTTGTGGGCTTAAGCAATCCGCTTGCCTCGGCCTCCCAAAGTTGCTGGGATTACAGGCTGAGCCACCGAGCCCGGCCAAAAGTTTTTTTTTTTTAAGGGGATTCTGGAGGGCATACTTCCTGCTCACACCCTGGAGATCAGTCAGGTACAGCAAGACTCCAACAGTAGGGAGACAACACTGTAAGCTCATCAGTGGAATAACCGGGGTGAATGTTTCATGATGTTCAGATCAACACAAATCAAAGTTCTCTTTAATTGTCCTTTGAACCTTAAAGGAAATTGGGAGAAGCCTTGGGCACTGGACCCATTCCCTTACCCTGGGCCTAAGTATGTGATACTGAGGGCACTTGGGTGACTAAACCCTGTGGGAAAACTAGTAAAAACAGGGCAACATCATCAGCCCACTTAGAATCACCGATGGAAGGGCAGGGTTTGAAATCAGACACCAAGAGTGCTGAAAAAGCACTTTCTTTTTTCGGAAAACACCCTCGAGGCATGAGCTGAAATGACTGTACTATAGGGTTCTGGAAAGGGTTAAGAAAACATTCACTTTGTGAATGTTGCCTCCTCCCTACCTGGCCCGTGACCCTAGTTTGTGGACTCAATGTGAACACGAACTTTTGGTAAGATCAGAGGATAGCGTGACAGAACTCAGAACTGTTGGCACAGAAAGGTGGAACTCTTCAAGCCCAACCACGGATTCAAGATTTGCTTGATGGACCAGTTGGATGAAGATGTCACTTCACCTGCAGAGTCTCTCCCTGGTTTCTGCACTTGGTCCTGCTGGTCCTGTGTAGATATGAACAGGTAACATCCATCCCCCCTAGGGAGAGTACGGGAGAAACAGCACGAGCCTTGGAGTAAGACAGGTCTGGGTTTGAAAGAAGGGTCTGCAACTTTGTTACTTCATCTCCTCACGCTCTTAAAGATCTGGAAAATGGGGATTCTAATGCCTGCCTCAGAGAACTAAAGAAGAGAATGTAGGTAAAGTGCTATCATGTTTCTGATAAACAGTAATAGTGGTGAGTTAGTACCTTCCTTCTTCTTCTTGGACAACTCCCATGGCCCATCTTGGGTGATCAGGGTCATGTCAAATTTCCTGCTATGTATCCTTTCCCACACTTTGAATAGAATAGTTAAAAAACCACGGTCACAATATTCTAGGGTGATAGGATATTGCAAATCTCTAACGGTCTAAAACAGAGCTCCACAACCCATGGTCTGTATGCAGGTTTTATAAATAAAGTTTTATTAGAACATAGCCATGTCCATTCATTTGCTTATTGTCTAGGGCTGCTTTTGCTACAGTGGCAGTATTGTGTAGTTGTGACAGAAACTGTATGGCACACATAAAGCCTAAAATATTTTCTATCTGGCTCATGATAGAAAATGTTTGCCAAATTCTGGTCTCTAATGATTTGGTTGCTTCTTTCGGCATTCATTTCCTTAGGTTACTCAGTATCCCTGGGTTGCACAGTGCCAACACCAACGGTAGATAAAGCTTGCAACTGATTCATTAAATAATTTGTGCAATGCCCCACATTTATTTCATCGAACTTCTTCCTTCAAAGTAATGGAACTGGGTATAATTAACTCAACACTGCTTGTTAGAAAGTGAACAAATTGGACAACTGCTTTTTATTGTTGTTTTTTGTATTAGGGAAATATCTATATGATAAGAAAAGGCAGTCTTGACTGATTTTCTTTAAATTGGCTAGTTGTCTTGGTCTTGGCATGTCTTTACTATTGTGCCCAGGGAGGCGCCTTAGAATGGGAAATAGTTATCATGAAATTATTATGTCATGGATGCGCCTTTGCTTTTAGACAACTTGGACAGAGCAGAGGTTTAGCAAGCAGAAAAATTAGGGCCTTAAGATTCTCACTGACATGGAACTGTGCTCTTAGGATTCACTCTAGGGTTCCACTAAATAGCCAACATTTTTTAGGGCAGTTAAAGAAAGGGAGAATGTGTAATATGCACATAATTTTTGGAACCTTACCTCCTGAATAAATTCAGTCAGGACTTATACCAAGAAGTAATTTAGATCTGTGGAAAACTTCTGATGTTTCTATTCGGTGTTATAATCTCTGTTTCATTAATAAACCTAGTAAGCACCTCTACTTCTTATCAAGTTCACCCATCGATTCAGTGGACCTTACTGTTTAGGACAAGCAGAATCCAGAAGAGACACAACTTCACATCCACCTTCTGAAGATGAAATAAGGGACACACATCAACAAAACACAGATATAATTGTGTGGTTAAAAAGCAGATGATTTTCTGGTTAAAAAGCAGATGATTTTCCTGGTAGACCCTTTACTTCTTTATTCCTGTATTTACCAAATAAAAATGTTAAATTTGTTCCTCTCTATGCCCAAAAAGTTACTGAGTCAGAAATTTTGAGAGCTCTCTGCCAATTCACACCCACAAATCTGTTCTCTTATGAGGGACAACAACAACAACAGAAAATCAAGATCGCCTACACTTGTTCAAGAAATGTGTGCACATTTAATTCACTAAGAAGTCCTGTAAATATTTGCTTTTTAACTTTCCCATTACAAAGTAAGTATATCAGGTTTTTTTCCCCCTGACATCTTTCTAAAGTGGTTTATTTTTCCACTATATGGAGATGTCCACCTATTTCTCATTCTGAGCTAACCAAACAAAAGTTGGCTAGTTGATTATAAACGTTAACATAATTTTCATCTTAATGAAAGGTTTAGCAAC